ACGGCCCAAGAGTCCCCAAAGATCGCACCAAGGTCGCCCAAGAGGCTTGCAAGATTGCGCCAGAACGACCCAAGAGGCCCCCAGGACGGCCCCAACAGGCCCAATGACGGCCCAAGAGGCCTCTAAGACGCCCAAGAAAGCCCCCAAGACGGCCCTGGAGCACTCCAAGAGGGCCCCAAGTCGGCCCAGAGAGGACCCCAAGACGGCTTCTGACTGCGTCAGACGGGCCAGAAGCCCACCAAGGGCCCCAAGACGGCCCAAGAGGCCTCCAAGACGCCCAAGATGGCCTCCAAGACGGCCCTGGAGCACCCCTAAGAGAGTGCCAAGTCGGCCCAGAGAGTTCCCAAAGACGGCGTCCGACGGCATCAGACGGGCCAGGAGCCCCGAGAGGCCCCCAAAGGCCCCCAAGAGGCCCAGGAGGCCCCCAACATTCCTCCAAGAGGCTCCCAGGAATCTTCCCGGAGGTCCCAAGAGTGTCCCCAGAGGCTCCCAAGATGCCCCCTCCTCCTCCTCCTCAACCACCTCCTCCTTCTCCTCCTCCGACCCCTGATCTTCCCCGCCATCCTCCCCCAAGTGTTCCTCGAAGGGTTTCCACAACGGTTGGGGGAACACATGGTCCGATAGCTTGGCAGAGCTCTTGCCACAACGCTCGGCCACATGGGCGATTCTAGAAGGCAGGGGACGTCGGTGATTCGCCATAGGCGTCTTCGATGTCCGCCGCCCCCTCTTGGCTTGCCACAGGGGTGCACGGCGTGCCAGATGTCTGGGAGGTGTTTGGTTATTTTCTGAAGGACTCCCCATGTGGATTCAGCCCAACCCGCCAGCCACCCGGAGAGCTGGACGAACTCAACCTCTCATGTGTCAAATCGCTCCCAAGATGGCCAAGATGGCGTAAGATGGCCTCCAAGATGCCTCCAAGACGGCAAATATGGCCTCAAAGAGGGCCAAAGACGGCTCAAAGATAACTCCGGGACGGCCCTGGATGCACCCAAGATGGCCCAAGATGGCCTCAAGATGGCCCAAGATGGAGGCCCCCAAGAGGCCTCCAAGGCGGCCCCAGACGCCTCCAAGAGGCCATGCAGGAAGCCCCAAGAGGGCCCCAAGACGTCCCAAGAGGCGTCCAAGAAGCGCACGATGGCCTCAAAGACGGCCCTCCGGCGCTCCGAGAGAGCGCCAGATGGCAGCAACATGTCTCCAAGACTGCCCAAGATAAAGCCAAGACGGCCTAAGATAGCCCAAGACGGTCCAAGAGAGAGGCCTCCCAGAGATCATTCAGGAAGGCCCGACGAGGCCAACCCAAAATCACCCAAGAGGCTTCCAAGATGGCTCCATGACGGCTCAAAAGGCCCCCAAGACGGCCCCAAGAGGGCTCACAGACGGCCCAAGAAACCCCGAAGACGCATAAGATGGCCTGCAAGACGGTCAAGATGGGCCCAAGAGAGCCTAAGATAGCCCCAACATGTTCTCGAGACGGCCCTGTATGCACCCAAGACGGCTCAAGATGGCCTCAAGATGACTCAAGACGGCCCAAGAGGCCCCCGAGAGGTAGGTCTCCAAGAGGTCCGCCAGAAGGCCCGAAGAGGTCAAACTCAATGGTTGTGCTTGGCTCGTTTGGTCGATTTTGGCGATTCCGCATTTTTAGCGCTCATACGGTCCAAGGCAGCCCAAAAGGTCACCAAGATGGCCCCAAGAGGCCTCCGAGATCCGAGATGCACCCCTGACGGCCTCAAAAGCCCCCAAGACGACCCAAGAAGGCCCTCTGCCCAGGAGGCTCCAAGACGCCCAAGGTGGTCTCCAAGACGGCCCCGAAGCGCCCCCTGAGGGCCCCAAGTCGGCCAAGAGAGGCCCGCAAGACAGCTTCCGACGGCGTCAGACGAGCCAAGAAAGCCCTCAGACGGCCAACGAACCCGCTCAAGGAGCCTCCAAAGGCCTCTAAGAGGCCGAAGGAAGCCCCCAAGAGGCCCCAATGAAGCGACCAGAGTGCCCCAAGAGGCTCCCAAGAGACATCTCCCTCCTCCTCCTCCTCCTCCTCCTCCTCTTCCTCCTCCTCCTCTGTTTTCCTCCATCTCCTCCTCTTCTTCTTTCTTCCGCTCGTGTTCCCCGAAGTGGATTAACAACGGCTGGGGGAACACTTCGTCCGCCAGCTAGGTCGAGCTCTGGCTGCAGGGTTCGGCCACACAGGCTCCTTCAAAAGGCAGGGGGCGGCGGTGATTCGCCGTAGGCGTCCTCGAAATGAAGTAGCGAATGCACCTGGCCCTCAAAATCATGTGCTTCTCGTTCGTACTCCCCTTACCGTGCTCGTCGCTCTTTCGGTTCTCTTCACTCCATATTGCCCCTCGTCCTTCTCACCTTCCGCGATCTCTTGGGGGGGGCCCTTCGGATACTCTTTTCCAACATATCTTGGGGGCCTCTTTCCAGATGACCCGCCGTCCTGGGGCTCCCTTTTCGAGATCCTGTGAGAGGCCTCTCAGGGCGCCCACTCAGGAATTTTGGAATTGCCTGGGGGAGCCTTCGAAAAGGACCGGGGGGTTGCCGCTCGTTATAGACGGAGCGCTGCTCGGGAAGATCTCCTCGCAGAGATGCTCGCTGAGGCGTTGGGAAAAGGTGTGACTCCTCTGGGGCCTCCCCTGCGTTCGGAAGGAGGTGGGAACCCAGAGGGTGCTTTGGCGCGACCGTGCATGCTCTTTGGTGCAAGGGTGGATCGCCCGTCCTTCCTGGGATGCGATGGATCTTTTCCAGGCCCCCGAACCCCTGAGCCCCCCTTCCTCCTCCGCCTCCTCCGCCTCCGCCTCCTCCGCCTCCTCCTCCTCATCCTCATCCTCTTCCTCCTCTTCCTCCAACTCCTCCTCCTCCTCCTCCTCCTTTTTCTCCTCCTCCTCACACTTCCTTTCCACCGCCTTCTCCAGACACGCCTCGTGCGCGGACGGTGGGAGGGAAGATGAGGAGAAGGAAAAAAGGTGATGATGATGCTGCTGATGATGATGACGATGATGATGATGCTGATGGTAATGATGATGCTGATTATGATGATGATAAGGATAACGATCATGATAATGATCGTGATGACGAGCATGAGAAGGATATCGATGATAATGATGATGATGCTGGTGGTGATGGAGATGGTGGTGGTAATACAAATACTGATGATGATGCTGATGCTGATGCTGATGATGCTGATGATGATGCAGCTGCTGCTGCTGATGATGATGAGGATGATGGTGATGGTGGTGATGATGATGATGCTGATGCTGATAATGATGATGCTGATGATGATGATGATGAGGAGGAGGAGGAGGAGGAGGAGGAGCGGGCGACCCAAATTGTTTCCACAGCGCCTCGAGGCATCGCAGCCCACCGTGAAGTTGCCCGCGAGCTCGGGCCACGGCTCGCATGCCCGCACGCCGCACATGCGCACCTCGGCGCCCGGCCGCCTGCTGAGCAGTAGCTCCGCCGCCGCGGCGCTGAACGTCGAGCCCCGGGACCCGAGGAAGGCGTCCCCGTGCGACAGCAGCAGCAGGTCTCGCATCGCGCCCGCGCCCACCTGAGCGACGAGTAGAGCAGAAAGACACACAACAAATAGAAAGACACAATCCCCAGGATTTACCCATAGTTTTCCAGATCTTCCGGGGGTGTCCGTCTTCCCCCCCCACGTCCCATATTTCCCATACTTTCCTGGGAGTCGGCGATTCATTGTGTCTGTGTCTTGTCCCTTCCTGACTGTTCCCACCAGCGACAAGGAAGGAATGACCCCGACCTCCCAGCCACAGCATGGTACGCAGCAGCGAGTGGCGGGTGGCACGAGATACACAAGTAGACGACGGTCGGCCGCGAGCGGAGGGGGGGAAGGAGAAGTAGAAGGCCTTCTCAGAAGGCGGCGGGACTTCTCGGAAGCCCTCGCGCCTTCTGTTTTGTCTGTCTTCGGGGAAGGCTCAAAAAACTTCTCGGAAGGCCGCGGGACTTCCGAACCTTCTGAGAAGGCCTTCTCCTTCTCACTTCCCCCCCTCGCTCGCCGCCGAGACGGAAAGAGGAGGGGGACCACCGGAGCGGCGAAATACGGCAGGTTCGTGTCGTGGCGACTTCGGCATCTGTCTCTGACGCCGTGGGGATCGTTCAAAGGCTTGAGCGGTCGGCCGCTTCCGAAACGTCAGGCCGTTCGACATCGACCGATTCCGGATCCCCGTTCGGCAGCAGCAGCAGCAGCAGCAAGTCCCGCATCGCCCACCTGAGCGACGAGCATAAACAGGTCTTGCAGGAAAACGAAAAACTGTATAATCACAAGAGAGCTCGCCGCTTGGGCCCCGCGGCCAGCCCAAACGGCGAGCAGAATTCGGGCGTAGCCCCGCACGCAGTCCCAAGTCCAGACAGTCAGGGCCACGTCGACTTAGAAAAATAAGCCGTCGGAGCTCCACGCAGATTTCTTGGATATGCGCTGGGGCCCCCAGGCAGCGTCACCAGCGCCGCCCCTGGCTCGCTCCACGCACCAGGGAGGGGGGGCCCAACGCCGATCCAAGAGATCTGCGCGGACCTCCGAATGTTTATCCTAAGTAAGGAGGCGGGTCCTACGCAAGGTGACGTGGCGACCTTACGGCTTGGCTTACGTGGGCCGCCAGCGTGTCACGCTGCATTGGACACGAGGGCTTTCACGCGCGACCTCGCGCGGGCAACTTGCGCGCACCTTTCCGCGCAATGGAACCCGTTGTTTTTTCGGCGACTACAGTGGGTGCGGTTTGCGAAGGGTGCGGTCTGCCTTCCGTCATATCTGCCCCTCCCGCCTCCGGGAAATGGATGACACTGTCACCCAATGCGACCGAATCACATGACACTGTCGCTCCTTCTAGTACAGTGGAGCACACATCGAGGATGACAATGTCGCTCGAAACGACGACAATTATGACATTGTCTCTCACAAAGGTTCCGGAAAGGACGCTACAAAGCAACTCGCAAACCGCACCCTGGCGTAACCGCACCGATTGTTGTCGCCGATTTTTGCCCGCGCCCACCTGCTCCCCGTGCTCCGGGCTCCAACTCCTGGCTGGATCCCCGTACCTCTAGAGGTCTCCTAGATGGGGTCCGACTGGATGGGGTCGGAGGCTTGCACCGCATCGCCGATGGGTCGGCGATGCGTCAGGGATGCATCGGCCACGCCGGCGTGGCGTAGTCGGGCCCCACAGCAAGCGATGCAGCGCCGATGCACCGGCGGTGCAGCGGCGATGCAGCGCGATCCTCCGACCCCATCTGCTCCGACCCCACCTGGGAGGCCTAGAACATTGTCTCGAATGCACTGTCCGTGACTACGCCGACAGCGAATCCTGGTTGAAGACAAACAAGAACTGCTGTTGGACTTCGTACACAGATTGCCCATGCCCATCTCGATCGTCCCGATGGCCCGCCCCCCCATACTTGGATGCGCGCACAAAGGGGGTAGGTGACGGGATGGCTTCTCAGAAGCAGGGATGCTTCTAAGAAACCTTCCCGCCTCCCACTACCCCCTCTGCGTGTGGCTGACGTCGTGTTCTCTTCATCGCGTCAACCCCACCGAGTTTTCGACCCATTCCCCGGGACCAGATTTTCATCTCGAGTCGCTGTTTGCCGGTCCCCGTTGACCCAAAAGGGGGTCCAGCAAAAAGGGGGTGGTGCAATAGATTTGGTGCAATAGATTTGTGGGGTTGCAATCGATTTGGGGTGTGCAATGCATTTCCGGGCGCAAATGTATTGCTGGATGTTCGAATGCAATACATTAGTTGCAATACACCTCCCCCTTTCAGCTGGCACCCCTGTTGGGTGCCACACTGGGATGACCGTGGGGGGTTCTAAGTGGACAGGGGGGTTACAAGTGGATGCCAAGGTGGGTTATATCTGGCCGAACCTGGATTTTATATGTGGGTTACAAGTGCCCCGACTGGCTTCGGGGGGTTAGATAACTCCGCCAAGTGGGCGGAGCCCACGCAGCCCGATCGTGAACCCCCCTAAGCCACTCGGGGCACTCGTAACCCACTCATACGCCAGGTTGCGCCAGATAGAACCCGCCTTGGCACCCACTTGCACCCCCCCCTGTCCACCTAGAAACCCCCACGGTCATCCCGGCAGAGGGATCTGGGCTGCGCGTGGCGTCGGGAGCGGCCAAGAGGGGGGTGTCCAAGAGGGGGGGTGCAAATCATGACCGGCGGCACGTGCGCGGCCCAGCGGGGGGGCCAGGAACGTAATGAAACAAGAAGAGGCGCCATGAAATCTGGGGAAATATCATGGCCCCCGCCATGATATCCACCCTCCCCTAGTCATCACCCCCCTCTTTTCCGCTCCCGACAGCAGAGGGGCCTGGGCTGCGCGTGGCGGACGCACCTCGAGGTCACGAGCCGGCACCGCCGGGCCTCCGCCAGGGGCCGCAGCACGCCGGCCGCCGCGGCGCTGTCCGCGGCCAGCAGCAGGGCGCAGGGCGCCCCGGCGCCCGGCGCCCGCGGGCCGGCGCGCGCCAGGAGCTCCTCGGCGCCCCTCCAGGCGGTCTGCGGACTGCCCGCCAGGCCACCCCAACCCAATCCCAGACTTGTGGGTGCCATGACAGTGGACACTCCAACAATCCTATGATTGAGTTAAAACGGTGTGAAAGATGTGTGAAGCATGTCCTAAACAAAATGTTTCAAACATGTGTAAAGCATGTTGTAAGCATGTCTCAAACAAATTGTTGTACACATCTAAAGCATGTCTGAAACATGTTGTAAACATCTGGAAATGATTTGGCAGCACGCTTCATCTCCATTAATCGACTTCCAGAACCCCAGGCACGATCTCGCCGCGAAACAAAACGCAGGACGGACGGTTTCTGGCCGATCTCGGCCTCTGGGGGGGCCCTCGCCGGGCCTCGGGGCCGGCAGCCCAAACTCACCTGCCCTCGCTCACTCTCTGACCCCAGCAGCACGCGCGAGACGATTGCTGAGGTGCCTGAACGGTCTTACTCTGTCACACAGAAACACGCGCCCCTCACTCTTACCCTCAGCTACAAGCCTCTTTTCTCCCGCTCTCCGCGGACTCTCGTTGGGCAATTCCGCACAGCTGCGATGAGGGGGGGTCGATTGCCCCCCCCCCGCTCAGCTGCCCGCTCAGGAGAAAATTCAAACTACTGCATTCGCGACTGCAGCATCACCAGCCTCCGTGTCGCTGTCAGAATTCACGGCTCTATCGAACAAGACCTGTTGCTCGACTACGTCGATGTCAGCATATCTGAGAAACTGCGATGATCTCCGCTCGCCTGCTGCCAATACGGCACCTAGGGACTCGCCCTGATTTGCCAATTCAGTCGCTCTCCCTGCCCGGAACGACTTCAGGGAGAATGCAGCCGCTCCTGGTGCCAATGCCAGGGTGAGAAATCGCCGCAGAGCGCTGACACAGACGCTGCCGCTGAAATTAAACAATCTCTGACCGCAAACTCTGCTTTGTAAGAACGCTCCTATCCTGTGCGCAGGGCACAAGCGTTCGCCTGTATGAGTACACGAACACTTTCTGGCGATATGGGAGCCGGCTGGACGGTGCTTCCTTCGCCGGAAAAGCAGGTGCAATGCTCCGTCTGCAATCCAGACTGAAGAATGCCTCCCTGCCGGCAACGCACCTTCCTCCCGCGCAGCTCCTGCTTCCAGCGGGATTCCCTCAGACTGAACTCTCAAGAGAAACGCCCAGCCGATTATCACTAGCTCCTGGAAGCCATCTTGCACGTTCGCTGCGACAGCAAGCTGCACTACTTTGTTCAGGATTGGCGATGTGAGCGGTTGCGAGACTCTGGCTGGCCCACCTGTGAACCGCGTAGCTCTCTTATTTACACCTGCCAGGGTCTGCTTCACCTCCTCGCCATACCATGAAACCTCCAGGCCCAAGTGGACGCAGGTCCACCTCACGTACCCGACGTAGTTGCTGGCTGTTTTTCCCGACCGGAAAATTGCCAGAAACTCGCGCGCCTGGGCCTCTGAGCGCGGTGGTAGAGTAGCACAAGCTGGAAGCCCCTGAATATGGACTGCGAAGGCGTGCCAGGCACGGAGGGCACTTGAGACACTTGCTAGCGATGCTCTAGCCGACTCCATTTTAAGGAGCCTCGCTCTCTCTTGGAGCACACTCGAAGGATTACCTCCCTGTTCCCTCGCAGCCTTCAACTTCGTGATGACCTCCACGGGTCTCGTTCTTGGTCCAGGTCCGTGATGCCCATGCCCTTCAGCTCTGCTAGAACGTGGATTTCAAGTTCCTGCGCTATCTGCGGTGATATAGAGTCAACGAAACTCTCAGCAGATGACGTCGCTGGCCGGGCCTGCGCCCCTGCGGCACCAGTGACGCGCGTGCCAGCAAGCGTTCCAACGCAGCCTGAAGCACCAGCGAGTCCGTGACTCCTTTGAGCTCGGCGGCCGTCAAACTACCCAAATGACTGATGTGGTTGCAATCGCACAATGTGAGTATGAGCCCGAGACGCTGGCGCACATGACGCGGCAGCGGCGGCGAATCCATCTCTTCTAGCACATCTGACCATACGTTCACCGCGCAGAGGAAAGATTCGTTCTTGAACCCTTTCAACTCGCCCCGCAAATCCGCACTTATTATGTCCAGCGTATCAGTCCCTCTGACGTCCAAGATCCATTTCTGCTTCAACACCCTAGCAAATATTACTGCGCGGGGGTGCGGCGACCGTCTCCAAAGGGACGCATCCGCCACAAGGTGGCCAATTCCCGTTACTGCCAGAATTTGCCTCGTCACCTTCAGTTGGCCCAAAGACTTCAGCAATGGGAACATCCGAAGATGGTCGCCTCGCACGAGCGCCGCAAGGACTTGGTCTCTCGGGGCAAACGCCCTAGCACATTCATGCGGACAGTCAACCCGCGACGTGATGTCTTTGGACTTTTTGGGGAGTGAGACACCTGCTGCACGAAGTTGTGTGGTAGACCACCTCGCTTCTCCAGCCGGCGCGGCACTGCGTTCGTGGCTGCTCTTGGACATCTCTGGCTGCTCAGCGCACCACCTCGAATAAACAAGAAAACAGATGACTGCTGCCGTTGCCAATATGGAATACATGCACGAAGGGGCGGGCGGGCGGCAAGTTTCCGTGCAACACCCTGTGAGCCACCTGAGCCCAGATGGCCACGGACCCTGCCGTGCAGACCACAAGATGCCTGCTCTCTCCGGGTGTGGGGACACCTGCCAACAGGGATCGGGTCCAGACCTCCTGGCGCAACCAAGATGCCGAGAGCACCTGGTCGATGGGACGGGGTCAAAGAGCTCCAGGGCCCACGACAAACGACCACGCACCAGCGCACCCTGCCGACTGGGACGGGGTCAAAGAGCTCCAGGGCCCAAAAAAACGACCACGCACCAGCTGGAAGGTGCAGAGCTCCCTCCACGAGCGGCGCCGTCAAGACACCCCACAGCACCGACGAAGGCAGAAGAAGAGCCTCCTGGGGACGGGGTCGATAGTTCCGGGGCGCGCAAAACGACAGAGACCACCGTCCTCGCGCCCGCTCTGCTCTGGAGGCCTGTGCGCTGACTGCTCGCTACGTCCCCCTGCTGCTTTTGGGTCAGGCATAGAAGACGACCGAGGGGGAAAAGGAGGAAAAGGGGGAGGGAAACCGGCTCAAGGCGCAAAGGGGGACGAGTCAAACCCCCTTCGCCGGAGCTCAGGTTCCCTGCTCCAGCCCCCCAATCGCCGTTACGACAAAGTGTGCGTTGTCAAGCTCATTTGGGCAAGCGCCCAACGAGTTGGGTTTCCGCCCAAACTCACCTGCCCTCGCTCACTCTCTGACCCCAGCAGCACGCGCGAGACGATTGTTTAGGTGCCTGAACGGTCTTACTCTGTCACACAGAAACACGCGCCCCTCACTCTTACCCTCAACTACAAGCCTCTTTTCTCCCGCTCTCCGCGGACTCTCGTTGGGCAATTCCGCACAGCTGCGATGAGGGGGGGGTCGCTTGCCCCCAACGCTGCCGACCCCAACGCTGCCTCAGAAGAGCCATTACAACAACTGTTACTGTTCCTGTTTCAATCAGACGGATCACAAAAGAAAAGAGACCGGAATGATTATTTTCCGCCGGTCACAAAATGTCCCAGCCCCATGTGTTCAGGAGCCACTTGGGCAAGGTTGGCTCTACAAACTTAGCTGAAAGCTGATGCATCATGCTAAGATCATTGCGAGATGGGCCATCTACCAAATTCGCTTCTGATTCTACTCTCCCTAACTGGAAAGATATGTCCCTGGATGCCATGTCCAGCCATGTCGTTCCTACGCAAAAATTCAACTCTGGAGCGCGGCCGCTCCCGTTGATCAGCGCATGGAGTACGCCATCGTTGTCAATGAACTCCGTGACCATTGCTTCTGCGATGCCAAAGCTATGATAACCGAGAACGAAACCAAGGAACTCTTGGTAACCTATCTGGTTGTCGTCTCTGTCCAGCATTAAAGCCCAGATCTGCGGAGGAACTGTGGCGCGCGTCCACAACCAGGTGCAGTGGCCCCCTGGCTCATGGAGCGCTGCCACTGCAGCAATGCACCGAGATTCCCCCGACGCGTCTGTGAACATCGTGACCCTGCGCCTCCGGAGCTCCTCCGCAAACCGGCGATGTGGAGGGCGTAGGACGAGGTAGTGCTGCCAGAACAGAATTGCTCGCCTCAGCAATGGTGGCATACCCGGGAGAGGCGCGAAGGCCTGCGCGAAGTACGGCTTAACGAAAGCCCTTCCTACCTTGCACCTGGACGATGTGATTGCTGACCCTAAACGACCCGCAGTACGGATAGCTTCATGCGGCTGCACACATCCAAGTTGAAGCTGAATTTCAAGGTCCCTGAACCACCGCCGTGCTTTGTCCTGAGCTACGGTGGATGACACTGCTCCATCTTCCAAATATACCTCTACTACCGCACCCAAAACGGGTAGCACGAGAGTATCGTCCACGTCCTTGGCTGGATCTGTAACGAGCCCCAACAAACGAAGGACCTCGGTTACCAACCAGCCCCCTGTTATCCCTACTCCCCTCCGCGACGCGCCAAAGAAATCATCGACGTAACGGAAAAGAGGAGCACGGAACTTGACCAGGACGACGTTCCGGATAAAGCTCCCCAGCCTGTGCCACGCTGCGTTCGCAGCTGATGCTCCGAACATCATGCCGTAGTGACGACGAGCACACCGCAAGTTGCCATTCCATGTGAACACGAACCAAAAGAATTCCTCGTGCTCGCTCGCTATTGGAACACGCCGGCACGCTTTGGAAACATCGCGTTTCCAGAGCCGAGGTTCCGCACGATGACGAAGAAAATGAAGCGCTGCCGTAACCGACTCCTCAATGCCATCGCGCTTGGCTCTGTCAGGATTGAATGTTGCCTTGTTCTGCCCTCCTTCCGTCTCGTCATCGATTGGTCTAGTGCGCCACCCTTTCGGGCGCTTTTCCCTCACGGGAAAACGCCTCGCTAGAGTCTTTGACTGCGCTATGTCAAACGACAAGAGTTGAGGGCGCGAGCACGACCCTTCTCGAGCGTCCTCCTGGGTAAGTTGCATGATGTCGTCGTCCCACTCGCTGGGTCGCATCTGGTCTATGATTCTCATGTTCCTTTCAATGCGCTCCCGCCTCAACTGGTCTACCCCCGCGGGGTCCCAGGCGGGCTTGCCGTCTGGCCTCGCGTCCGGGCCGCGGCATGGGAGTTGTCCGATTAACGGGAAGCCACACAGATCATCCATTAAAGATGGGTCCAGTTCTCTATAATTCAACTCAGTAAACAATGAATGAAACAACAAATAATTCAGTCGCTCGGCCACAGGATTACTCGAAATATTCGGCCGTTCTCCGCGCAGGTGATCACGGGCGCAGCGGGCCGCCCGATGTTCAAGTTCCCTGAACACCGCCAGGCGGAAAGTGTCAATATGTGCTGCTTCGCACGCGCTCTCCCAATCCAAAGCTAAACGAACTTTCTCATTGAGAGCGCCGAGCAAGGCAACCTCTTCGTCCGGGTGCCGCGCTCCGAGTGCGAATGCGATACGCTCCAAGACTGAGAGCCCCTTGGGGGCACCGAGACCGCTGGGTACAAAAGGATTCTCAGGGTCAACCAGCAATTCTCTCTGTCCAGGCAAAGCAATAGCGCCTCCACTGCGACCTTCTGAATCGTCTGAGTCTTCAGAAGATAGTCACCGTGCATCGCCCTTGCCTCTCTTCCTCTTGCTGCTCTTGAAGTCGTGGAACTTCTTGCGCTTGTTGCTGACGTACCCCTCGCCCTCGACCCACTGCCAGTTTGTGTTGTCGCCTCCTTTCTTCCCGCCACCGCCTTTGCCGCCCTTCGAATCGGCCTGATGCTTCTGCAACCACGCGCGCTGCTGCTTCGCCTGGTTGAGCTGCTGCTGGTGCTGCGCGAGGGTTTTGCTGGCCTGCTCCGCCCTCTGCTGGATGGCGTCGGCCGCCGCGTGCTGCTTTGCCATGACTGACTCAAGGGATGCCGGCAACGGGGCTGCAAGTCCAGATGGCGCCGAGGGCCCGCACGCCGACCTCAGGCCCGCCTGCGCGAGCGCGGCGTCCAAGCGCAAGGTGCCGCATCCAAGATATTCTTGTCAATGGAGCGGAACTCCTTCTGGATGTCCAACTCTGGCTCCGACATGGGCGCTCTCTTCGCCAACTGCCTCCGGAACAGGTCATCGTATAAGATGACTAAGAACTCTTTGTGCTGGATGGACGTGTTCTGCTCCGCCAACTTGGCCAACTCGTCCTTGTAGCACACAACGGTTGCCCATGTAAGCTGTTTCATGGCCACCGCTGCCACTGCGTACCTGTCAAACGCCGTTGTCCTCTGCACGCAGGACCTGAAGAACCGGCGGGTTGCTGTAGCACTCCGCAAGGCACTGGTGAGTTGGCCAAGCGTCGCGACAGAGGTCGACGGGTCAAGCGGTGTACCCCGTTCGCCTCCCGTGAGCGCCTTCCCTCCGATTGCATCCGAAGGAAGCCACAGTGGCAAGACCTCTTTGGCAGTCAGGTCTATGTACGAGAACGATTTCCGCTGGTCCTTTTCACCGGCAGCGTTCTCTGTGTGCAAAAACCCGCCACACCAGCTCCTCTGCCTGCATGTGGAACGGGAGTCCCTCGAGACCCGCTTTTGCCAGCTTGTCTGCAGCATTCACCTTTTCAGGCGCTACTGCTAAAAGCTTGGCCACCACCTCGGCAGAATACTCGGGCCCAACAGTGTCCACGACGTCCTGCTGCATGGCTTGGGGGAGTGATTGCTGGGTCTGCGGGGAGAGAAAAGATGCAGCACGTGCTGATGAGGCACCACTGCTCTGCTTCTCTGGGTTTGCCCGGCGAATCGCTCGTCGAGATAAGCCTAGCTCTGGGTAGGGATAAGTCTGGTTTCGCGTCACTCTCTTTCAGGCCAACTAACTGGCCCGGCTCAGACACCCCATTGTCCGTGAAGTGCGTCTCTGTCGCCCTCAACACCTCGGGCGTCGGTTCCTTGGCGTCCACTGACTTGAGGAAGCTGTTCAACGTCACCTCCGCCATGGGTCGCCTTGGGGGGGATCTGAAGCAGAAAGTTTCCGTGCAACACCCTGTGAGCCACCTGAGCCCAGATGGCCACGGACCCTACCGTGCAGACCACAAGATGTCTGCTCTCTCCGGGTGTGGGGATACCTGCCAACAGGGATCGGGTCCAGACCTCCTGGCGCAACCAATATGCCGAGAGCACCTGGTCGATGGGACGGGGTCAAAGAGCTCCAGGGCCCACGACAAACGACCACGCACCAGCGCACCCTGCCGACTGGGACGGGGTCAAAGAGCTCCAGGGCCCAAAAAACGACCACGCACCAGCTGAAGGTGCAGAGCTCCCTCCACGAGCGGCGCCGTCAAGACACCCCACAGCACCGACGAAGGCAGAAAAAGAGCCTCCTGGGGACGGGGTCGATAGCTCCGGGGCGCGCAAAACGACAGAGGGACCACCGTCCTCGCGCCCGCTCTGCTCTGGAGGCCTGTGCGCTGACTGCTCGCTACGTCCCCCTGCTGCTTTTGGGTCAGGCGTAGAAGACGACCGAGGGGGAAAAGCAGGAAAAGGGGGATGGAAACCGGCTCAAGGCGCAAAGGGGGACAAGTCAAACCCCCTTCGCCGGAGCTCAGGCTCCCTGCTCCAGCCCCCCAGTCGCCGTTACGACAGAGTGTGCGTTGTCAAGCTCATTTGGGCAAGCGCCCAACGAGCTGGGTTTCCGCAACAAAAAGCACCCGGGATGAGAGACCGCCCCCAGGGCAAGGGTCTGGACTTCGGGGGGCGCCGTCCTAAGGAAATCATGACGTCGCACGTCTGGGACCCGAAGTCCGAAATTTCGGCTCGGGGATCGTGCGGGTTCCATGTGCACGTTTGGACTGCTCCTGGACGCCCCCCGCACTGGGAGCGGCGGGCACCTGGGGGCCTTCGGGTTGCGTTGGGGTGGCTTGGCGGGCAGTGGTCTGCTGGAGGAACAAAACCAGCGCAGCTTGGCTGCCCCGATGCGCAAAACGCAGCACGTGGCGTGCCGATGCGGAGCTCAGCACGTGCACCGAGCACGCAGACCTGGCGCGAGACGCTCGCCAAGACGTGGACCCACACGTGCCGAGCCCACACGCAGCGTGCCAACGCGGACGTTTTGAGCACGGCACGTGCTGCGTTTCAACACGGACGTACAGTCGGGCCGCTGAAAGAAGGAACGCCAAATAAGGAACGAAGCCCCTACTTGGCCCTGTAAGCCCCAGGAGGGCAAGAGGAACAGCACTGGAGGAACCGAAGGAACATCGAGCCCCTTCCGAACCCAAACTGTTCCGTATTTCAGAGTCTTGACTGTATCAGGGCAGCTAAGCAGCGCAGCAAACGCATCCTTGCGGAGGTCCGCACGCCGCACGGGTTTCAGGGATCGGCTTCGGGTCCCCCTCCCTGGCGAGCAGAGCGCGCCGGGGGGCGACCGGCGCCTGGAGGCGACCGCCATAGGGGGCGCCCGGCGCCGATCGAAGAGATATCCGCGCGGGCGTCCGGAAGTTTGTGTCCATGCAGTGTTTTGTTCCTCGATCTGCGCGGCCTCCCGCAGGTGTGTCGAAGTGCGGATCCCTGGCCTCACCTCGGGCCTGCGGATATGGACGGCGACGGCAAAGGGCCTCTGCTCGGGCGGCCCGGCCAGGAGCCCAGCCTCCCACAGCACCGCCTCCGTCGGCTCGATCACCTCCTTGGCGTCAAAGGCGAAAGCTAGGCGAACGAACAATGACCTAAACATAAAACTCGGAGGTCCGCGCGGATTCCTCGGATCTACGCTGGACCCCCCTGGCGGCGCCTCCGGCGCCGCCCCTCGCGCGCTCCGCCCGCCACGGAGGGGGGTCCAGCGCGGAGCCAAGAAACCCGCGCGGACCTCCGAGCTTCTATGTCTGTGCCATGCTTCGCTCCTCTCAAAGCGGCTCGCAGCAGCGCGCCGAAGGCGTAGGGCCAGCCCAGCGCGAACAGCTCCGCGGCCCGCTGCGCGGCCGCGGCCGTGAGGTCGGCGTCGGAGGCCGCCAGCGCGTGAGCCTCGTGCTGCTCCAGCACGCCCGGGACGACCACGGGCCGCTCCGGGTCGACCCGGTCGAGGCACGCGCAGGCCAGCTGCTTCTGCCTGTCCTCCTGGCTTTGGGTCGGGCATGTCCTCCTAGAGGCGGATTTCGGAAGCAGCGCGACAGATAGTCGTAACAGTCTCAAACATAGTCAGAACGGCCTCACACATTTAATCAAGAGCAGCCGAACAAGCGTCCCCAGACCATATTTAAACTATTTCCGTACACAGTCAAAAAACCCTAATAAGGACGCGCGGTAAGGACGCAAGACCCTTGGAAGCCGAAGTTGGGATTGTTGGGGCGGCGGACGACGAAAACCCCAAGGACGCAAGAGCAAGGAAGAGCAAGGACGCAAGGGTACCCTGAGCAAAGTCGCGCGTCCTTATTAGGTTTTTTGACTGTATGCCTCCAGAAGACCCAGGCCCCCGACGTCATGATTTTTGTTCAAGACGCCGACCCCCAGAAGTCTGCCCTTCCCTGTAGGACTGGCTTTCCATCCCGAGCCGTTTCTTGACGCTCCCGCGGCCCGGCGAGGTCCTTCAGAGGCCGAAAGTGGCGAAAGACCTCCCGCCGTGATTTTTTTGTCATTGCGCGAGGAGGTCTGGGAGGAGGGACATGCCCGACCGAATCCTGGCTGTGCCAGCCGTAGTCCCGCGCCAGCGCCTTTGAAGGGGCCGTGGGGCACACAGATAGATGGACACAAAGAACAGGATTCCTCATATTCTCACATATGTTCTGGGTTGTGTCTTTCCCCCACTTCCCATACTTTCCTAGATTTTCCTGGGAGTCGACGATTCATTGTGTCTGTGTGCTTCTTCCCGTCCTATCGGGGAGACGTAAGACTCGGGTACGGGGGACTCGGGTTGGCCTGACGGGGGCCTTATGAAAATGACGAAATCCAATCTGAAATTTGACGCGGGCTCCCGCTGCAGACATCCCACGAAAACCGGACCGTCAAAATCCTGGACGCGCTCGTCAAAAAACTTCGGCTGACCCGAGTTCCGGCTTACTCGGGTCTTACGTTTCCCCGATCCTAAGCCTCGTCGGCCGCCGTGGCCGGGGGCAGCCAGGCGGCCCGCCGCAGCAGCGCCCCGCAGTCCGCCGGGGAGCCCACGGCGTGGGCCCCCGCCTGCCGCGTGTAGCGCCACAGGAGGCTGCGGCCCGTCACCACGGCGATCGCGAAGGCGTTGACCGAAGAAGAAAACACCACACACGTCAGTAATGCAAAAAAGGGAGAAACGAACAAAAGAAAGTTTTCTGCTATTTCTGCATAGTTTTCTGACTGGAGGAGAACGATTGAAGAAATAGTTTTCCAGCCCGCGGCCGGGCGCCGCCGCGTGAGCACGACCCCCAGTCATTTATAAATCGTCATCCTCCATTACATCAGTATCGTTTCACTGACTTACCCCTCCAGCTGGGGATGCACCCCTACATCCCCATCCAGGGGTACATCGGCCAGTGGGGAACAGCCCACGCCGCTGGGGATTGGGATCGGACAAACGATACTCAATAAACAGAAACTTTTGGCGCTCCGCGCGGATGTCTTGGATCCGCGCCAGGGCCCCGGGCCCCGGCGGCGCCTCCCGCGCCGCCCCCGGCGCGCTCCAGGGAGGGGGGTCCAGCGCGAATCCCAGAAGTCCGCGCGGAGCGACAGAAGTTTATGTTCCACGTGGTTGTTCTCTTCTTCGAGCTGAGGAACTCGTGCATGCGGTTCCCGAACTGCTTCGGGCACCCGTAGGTCCTTCGCATCGGGCGCCCCCCCCCCCAAACAAAAAAAATCGTGCGGTCACGCACCGCGCGGCGGCCTCGGGGCCCCCGAGGGCCTCACCGCGCGCGGTCCGCCCCAACCGCACGGCCTTGGGTCCCCCGGAGGCCCTGGTCGATCGAGACCTCCTGGGAGGAGGACTCGAGTGCCCCAACCCCGTGGTGCCCCAGGATGGGCCTGTTTTCCACCACCACCACCATGAGTTGGAGGGGGGGGGCCTCCTCCTCCTCCTCCTCCTCCTCCTCCTCCTCCTTCTCCTCCTCTTCGTCCTCCTCTTTGTCGTCCTCCTCCTCCTCCTCCACCTCCTTCCCCCCTCCAACTTGTGGTGGTGGTGGAGAGCAGGCCCACCACCCCAGAGCCCCACTGACTCGCCACGTGGGTGCGGTCGCCGCAGCGTTTTTCCGATGGGGGCACCCGAGAAGGTCCCCACGACGGCGCCGCTCGACAGGTTGGGGCGCGCGCCAGCGTGCTGGCCGACGTACGCCTCGATCAGCCGGCCGATGGCGGCCGCGGCGGCCTCGCTGCCCCGCGCAGCGCCCGCGCCGCCGTCGGGCGCAGGGCGAGCAGCCGCCTGCGCTTGGGTAGGGCGTGTCCCCCCAGTTTCCCCTACCGGCGGATTTGGGACGAAAATTTTTTTAAAAAAATGCGTCTCCCAATGGGCAGAAAGCATGTTCCAGAAATTGAATCCCCAGACTATTTGTTGGGGCATTTTTTTGACAATCCCCCTGTAGAGGGACAGGCCCGACTGAAGCCTGCGCGGCTGGGCACGCCCGAAAGGTGCATGGCCACGCTGCGCAGCACCAACTGTCCGACGGCGGCCGCTGCTGTGCAGGGGGCCGTCTGTCTCGGCTGGGCGGCGTCCGCGGCGGCACCCACAGCGAGCCCTGTTTCCGAGGTGGACAGGGACCAAGGCCGTGCACGGCGACAGCGAAACCGAAGGCCGACCGACCTGGCAGCAACAGCGAGACCGGCCGAAATCGACAGGCCGCCGGCACCGAAATCGACAGGCCGCCGGCAGCCGCCGGCAGCCTCGCGGGGCGCAGCGACGCGGCCGCGCCACAGGGACCGACCGGACCGAACCGACCCGAACAGCACCGACTGCGACACAGCCGAGCCGGCCGAGCCGCGAGCCCCCTACCTCGGGAGCGGCCAAGAGGGGGGTGTCCAAGAGGGGGGGGTGAAAATCATGACCGGCGGCATGTGCGCGGCCCAGCGGGGGGGCCAGGGACGTAATGAAACAAGAAGCGGCGCCATGAAACCTGGGGAGGTATCATGGTCCACGCAATGATATCCCCCCCCCTAGTCATCACCCCCCTCTTTTCCGCCCCCGACTACCGTGCTGCCCAGTCTTCTCGTGCCCCGTCCCTGAGATCCGACGTCTCCAGAAGATAGCGGCACCACACGCGAGACGGTAGAGGGAAACAATTACTGGACACCCCCCCTCCCCCCAAACTCGATGATGGCAAGCGCGGGGGAGACTGCGGTCGAAGCGCATCTCATCAGACCCACCGCCAACTTCGAACACTGGGGGGAAGGGGAGGCGTTGACGGACGAGTGTGGCACGAGTGCTCGCTGATTTGCTCGGAAGCCTGGATCACCACTGGAGCCGCGCGCTCTGCCTTCCTGCCTCGTCTTCAGGGTGCCGCATGGGTCTGCCAGGGGTCCCTCGGGGCCCGAGGCCGGGCGGAGACGCCCGCGGTGAAAGCACTGGGGAGCTGGGACCTCGGGGCCTCGATCGTACAGTCATCGGCCTGACCCAAGGAACGATAACTAAGGAACGAAGCCCCCTTCTTCCAAGGAGTAACCCAGAGGGGAACGATGAACAACCAAAAAATAACGCATAGGGAACGACAAATAACGCATGCAAGCCTAAGGAACGACCGAGCCCCTTTTTGAAAGTAAGTGTTCCTTCTTCAAGCCGCTCACTGTACCGAGGTCGGGCGCAGGGCGCGCCGCCGCCTGCGCGGCGAAGGTTGGGAAATCCGAAGGCATCGACACCGCTGCTCCCCAGACCTCTCCCAGGGCGCGTTCGGACCAGCATCTCGAGGCGACTCCGGCGGAGGCCACGAGGGCCTCCCGGGAGGCCCACACGGAGGAGGAGGAGGAGGAGGAGGAGGAGGAGGAGGAGGAGGAGGAGGAGGAGGAGGAGAGGAGGAGGAGGAGGAGGGGAGGAGGAGGAGGAGGGGGGAAGGAGGAGGAGGAGGAGGGCGGAGGAGGAGGAGGAGGGAGGGGGGAGGAGGGAGGAGGAGGAGGAGGAGGAGGAGGAGGAGGAGGAGGAGGAGAGGAGGAGGAGGAGGAGGAGGAGGAGGAGGAGGAGGAGGAGGAGGAGGAGGAGGAGGAGGAGGGAGGAGGAGGGAGGAGGTAGCAGACATGCGGGTCCCTTCTCCTCCTCTGGCAGGCCTCGAGGCCCCCGCCGCCCGCCCGCGCGCCCGCCGCCAGCCGGATGCCGCCGGCCCAGGCCGGCGCCTCCGCGGAGCGCCCGCACGCCAGCAGCGCGGCCGCGGCAGCGAGGAGCGCCGCGCCCGCCGCGGCCGCGCGGCAGCAGCCGCGCATGGCGCCGATCGGGCGCGCCCGACAGAGGCTACTGAGCAGCCTCGAACCTATCCTCATCCCTCAAGGACAATCTTGTGATTAGGCATTCAGAGGGCGCCTAACCCTCTGGGAGGCGACCTAAGTTGGGAGGGCCAGGAACAGCAGGGGCAGGGGGTCTGTCCTGCAGCTGCATCGAACCAGAGCGCCCAGAAGCGTTGTCCCGAATGCGGAGAAGGGGACCGCAGCGAGGCTACGCCTTCGTCGTGCTAGCAGGATTGGGGGCTTTGTTATCTTCTACGATCTCAGGGACGTGACCCCGGAAACAGAAGGTCCAGAAGATCGGCATCGAGAGCAGGAGATGCCAACCACAGGGACAGGGACAGGACGACCGTCCGACCCAGACGCCCGGCGCGGCTAAAAAGACGAGGCGGACATGCGTTCTTGGCCTCGCGGGGCCCTGACCCTGGCCTGGGTGCCGTCAGAGAACGGCTCGGCACGAAGACCGGTGCCGAGGAGGTGGCCGAGGAGAAGTCTTAGGTCGGGCATGCCCCCCAACAGGCCGATTTTGGACGAGAAATTTTAAAAATACCCAAAATATGCCCCAAGAGCTGCTCAGAAAGAGTCCTAAAATCGTCCCCAGACTGTTTTCTTGACTATCTTTGAATGTTCTCCCTGTAGAGGGACAGGCCCGGCTTAAATCGAGGCGCCCGATGCCCGTGGAGGTGGCCCCAGGCAGAATTGGTGCTGGCACGGAGGGAGAGGGTGGGCGGGGAGGCTCCCGGAGCCAGCTCG